GTTGACTGAACGACGAAGGGAATGCCATGATTTCGAAGAGAGACACATCTTCAATCTCATCTCCTATGGCACCGAATCGAGAGCTCGGTGCTAGAACCAGGCTTTGTGCGAGAAGTTCAATCTTAGGTTCTTGGAACCACCGCACGCGAGCGACCTTCTCGATGGGATCAACTGACTGGACCACGCCCACAGCGGCAGGGAGCAAATCGTGGGGTCGCTCAAAGAATGCCATCTCGTCGAAGTCTTTAAGTGCACCGCGTGCTTCCCCCTTCTGGTCAAGTGGTCTTTGCCGCATCCCTTCTCGTCTGAACACAATGTCCGTAGGGAGAATGTCGGCTTCGAAGAGGGCAAAGTTTGTCAGAGACGTTGAATTAACCGTAACGACGCTTCCATCTTGCCACATGACAGTAGCAGACTGTTGCATGAAAACAATCTTATACTCATCCAGATCCCAATCACCAGATGCATGTTTGGTCACCCGGTGAAGCATGCCATGCGTGGACCCCTTGATCCCATGATATTTTACCGCAGCTGCCGAAAGATCGCGGAACTTGACTCGCATGCCAACTTCCAGCTGCTGCCCTGAGTAAAGTTCTCGGAGATAGTGGGATTCGGGAGGGAGTGCCTGAGCATGGGCAGATCCCGTTTCGATGCCGTGTTCGTTTTGACGAAAGGACTCGACAGGCATTCTGCCAGCGTCATAGATAATGACATCCTTCTTCAGGTGCATCTTTGGAAACCCACGGAAAGTCTGAATGTCCTTGTAGATAGATATCGTCTCCTCGGGCACCGATGCAGCGTTGAATGTGTCTCCTCGCCGAGTTCTGCCGGAGAGCCAATCGACTGTAACCTCATGAGCTCGACAGTCAAGGACGATGCCTTCAGAAGGGACCTTCGGATCGTAGGAGCCACATAACCATATTGCGTTCCGCAGATGAGGACGATCCACGATGACAAAGTCACCCCGTCGTGGGTATGATACAGGAATAGTGTTTGGCCAGCCGTGAGTCGGTGCTACCATACCAGGCGGCCAGAGCTCAGGAACTGTAATGAGAGGCATCTCACTGTGGGCAATAGGTATTCGCAGGCCGACAGAATCAGAGATGACTGCGACGGAGAAGTCGGCCAGCATCACCACAGTGTCGTACTCGGCGTATTCCACCTCTCCAGGCCATTTGCGATGTATTATCCAATCTTCTGGAGTGACATCCTGTGCTCTTCTGACTTCTCTTGCAGGGACATCGTAAAGGAGGACGTGTGGATTGGGGTGAGTGAAGTGCTCGGGTAAGGTTGACGGACACTCTTGCGTGCAGTTCCGCCACGGCGAGTAGTCACTCGGGAAGACAGGTTCAAGGATGTAATTTTCTGAAATATTGACAACCGTACCCGTCAGGGGGCTTCCATCTTGCTTGACACTGTCACCCAACTTGAAGGCTCGACTGACGAGGACAATGTCATCCACACCGACAAGGGAACAAACTGCCGCAGCAGCGTGAGCAAATTCGACGTAGACATATCCTATCGGGGGGACGGAATTGGTGAGAAACTCGTCAAGGATATTAGGCGGGACAGAGTCATGAGTTACAATCACGTCGCTTGCTGCGTAGGACACGGCAGGATCATTGTAAGTGGCGCGGACGAGACCATAACGGGAAACATCTTGTTTGAGGGCGACATGGTCAGAAACAAAGAATGACCGCATCAGTCCTGAGGCCTTTGACAAGATCCAACAAGTCAATAGTCTACCAAGGTCAGTCAGATGAGGTTTTCAGAAGGATCAACGAAACGGTAGTTTGTAGTCGGTTGTGGAAGACTACGAAGAGTGCGAGAGCGAGGCTGGCGGGGGGATTCATGTTTGTTCCCGAATAGGAAGGTGGCGCGTTAATACATATTATTACGAGGCTGAACACCTTCCCTTCCTTCCCCTGCGAATGCCCTGCCGTGCCTGCCCACGTTGTTAGGCTGCAAACACTACAAGGGTGAGAAACAGAGAGGGCAGTGAATAACGGCTCCTGTTAGTCATTTGGGGGGTTTTCCATGACCGCTGGTTTTACTTTATACTTGGATGACATTTTTGCTCTGTAGCCTCCAGCGCAGTTCCCCGTGGCAGACACTTGGAGGTGGCTTGTCTCCTTCTTACAACTCCTCTTCCATTAATGCACTGCCCCACGGACGAGAGCCAATCTACTGTGCCTTCTCGCTCCTCTTGCGCAAATACACCTCCAGTCCCTCCTGAACGACGAAAAAGGTGGAATGATACGCCAACGGCCGTCCAGGATGCACCAGGGTGACATCGTACTCCCTCAGGATCTGGATGAGGGTCTTATTCATCTCAAACAGCGCGAGATTACGACCAATACAGAGGTGGCTGCCGCCTCCGAACTGTGATCCAGTGAAAGGAAGGGAGTTAGCATCTAACTTGCCAAAGGGTTTCTTCTGGAAGGAATGCCGGTGGAGAATATGGTAATGGGGGAAGGAAGAATGGAACATACCTGATATAAATGCGAACCCATCAATTTAGCATCACGCTCAAACCATCTCTCTGGTCTGAATTCGTCGCAGTCGTCCCCGAATATCGAGGCATCGCGATGCAGAACCCATCCATTGACGGCAACCTCGATCCCACCCGGGTAAAACTTGCCGTCGATTTCTACTCCTTCCGGCGGAGTTTTGCGGTATATTCCTAACCCGACGGCCGGTCGGACTCGCATGGCTTCCTTCAAGCACGCCTGGAAGTAAGGGAGAGCCAGCGCTTCCGCGTAGGTGACGATTTCAGACAGTTTCCCAGCCTTTTGAGCCTCGTCGATTTCCTGGCAGAGGTTGGCGTAGACCTTGGGAGCGTTAAGCACCAAGTAGAAGAACGATTGCATTGTCGACGCCGTGGAGTCGGATCCCGCAAATCTGCAGCAACGTATAAGCACAGGTAGAGAGGAACACTGGCCTCCTGCAGCAAGCATCACTTACACAGCACCATGAGCGATACTGAAGACGTCATTCACCGAAAACTTCTCAGGGTTTGCCTCATGTGCCCGCAACAACTCGGCCAACAGATCGATACCTGTTGAATCGAAGGTTCCGTCCTTTTGTTTGCGCTTTTCGAGCTCGGCGACGGCAATTTTCGTCATCGTCGTTGGTTTCATTTGTAAGCCTAGGTAGGGCCGGATTGGGTTGTTTCGAAGGAGGATGTCGTATTCTGCAATGTGACCCACGATCCCGTCGTACCATTGGACGTCGTCGATGTTCTTGATTGAGCCCTCAATATCGACTTCTTGTTCCAAGAAACCAAATTGTCGTGAAAAGGCCACTTCTCCAAGTACCTAGACCCAGCTTAGCCAACGTGATTGGAAAAAGGACTGCGATGGTCCGTACATCGAAAGCAAAGTAGTGCAATAGATTTCCCAGGTTGCAAACCCGTTTGTTCTCGGTGGCATACTTCTCCAGATGCTCCATCAAAAGCTTGATCATGTCCTCGATCGGCCCTGATCGCTTCTGCATCTGCGCAAGGCTGTAGGGAGTGACGGCATAGCGTTTCATCTGCGCATGCTTCCATTCGCGAACTTCTGTAAAGATATCCGGTGCATGCTGCGACGCGCGACAAAGTCAATGTCCCCATCTGCCATGGCACAAAAAGATGTCGCGTGATTGGATCTCACCTTTGGCGGAAAGACGCTGTAAAACATGGTCTTATGGAAACCTTTGCCCACGGCAAAAATGTCTTTGGCCGCATTGCAAGTGCCGAAGGATACCTCATTGGGGGCCGTGCGAACCACGGGTCCTGGCGGGCGGTGAGATTTTGGGGGCCCTTCCATTGCGTTTTTGGAGATCTAGAACTTACCGTATTTCTTGTGCAGAGCTATATGGTCCAACTCGGTGTGCCCATTGTATGTGCTCCACACTGTTTGAATTCGCAAACGTCAGCCCACGATAAGGAAAACAAAAAGTGAGACGAAGAGAACGAAGTACCTTTCCACAGCCTCGAACACGAAGCCAGCCACGGCCCAGGCACATTGCGAAGAGGAGATGCGTAACGCTTATAGAGGGATCGAATGACCAGGGAAAGAACTGCTAGAAGCAGCAGATTTGCCTTCAAGAGGGCCAAAACTTGGGCCACGAGAGAATGGCCGGGTGATGGGTTCTCGACCATCATCTTGGGAGACGGTCTCTCGACACTCGCTGTAGCCTAGAAGAAGAAGCCCGGTAGAAGCAAGAGTCGGAGGAAAAACAACAGGAAGAAGAGGCAGAGACGTCAGGAATGAACCCATCATCACTATATCTACAGGTCTATTCCCCCCCCCCCCCCCCGCGCCAACAGGACTTGGTTCGCATTGCTCTGCCGGTGGCTTCTACTCTGCGATCGAGAAAGCTCGTGTGAGATCATGCCCCCTAGCCACTCCATTTCATCCAATAGGACCGCCACTGGCGCAGGTCGGAGGGCGGCAATTGCAAAAGAGAGGATTCGGCTGACGGTGATTGGCACATGGTCCGCTCGACTGAAGAGGTCTGGGTTCAGCCCATGGATGGGTAATGGGTACTCGGTACTGGCAACTGGGTATCTGGACTCGCTGGGTAAAACCATTGATGTAGCAAAAGCCCCGCCGAAGTCACCCACATCGGAAAACCCCCGTGAAACATCGGCAGTGGCACTGGCACTCTGACCCCACATTGACTGTTTATGGAAACCCCCATGGTGTGGCACAGGAGAACCCCATGTGGCGTTGGCATTGTGGCTCTCCCCTGTAGTTGGATGGTTGGCCTTTTCATGAAGAGTGAGACTTGGGCGTTGTAAAGGCACAAGGCTGTCCGTCCAGGGGGCCGAGGCTCACATGTTCAGGTCAGGGTAGGAGGGGAAGCACCTCCAGGCATTCAAGGGTGGTTTTGGGTTCCAAAATGCATATTCTATCCTTGCTATGGATTGGTTTCTAGAGAGTAGCTCTTCCATCTAGTCTGTGAAGCGCCATCTATCTGGCTTGAGCCAGAGTATAAGACGACCATAACCCCTTTTAGACCTCAAACTTCTCTCCCACCAATTCCTCACTGAGCTTCCACAGTTTCTCCGCGCCCTCCATGCTCTCCGCGTACTCATATGTGTTTTGGCACTGGCAATCTGCCATATACATACCACTCTGCGGCTCGATCCTAGGGTCCAAGGCAGCCACCAGAGTTGTCGAGATGCCCTGCGCCATACTCTTCGGTGGATCCTGGTCAATAGGGAAATGTCTTCCAGTATTCTTTTGCGCATATGCCTCAATACTGCCAAGTGCCTGGACAACATCGGAGATATGAGCTCCCAGTTGAGTCTCGTAGATCCCGCCAGGGTGGACAGCGTAGCTCTGGATGCCACGGTCACGCAGCTTGTTCGCCAGATACAGCGAGAAGAGAATATTGGCGGTCTTGGACTGACCGTAGCCAGACCAAGCGTCATACTCTTTTCCGTCAGAGAAATTGTAGTTGTCGAAGTGGACAGGGCAGATTTTGTGGCCGAGACTGGTGAGGTTGACGATTCTCGCTCCACGCCCGGCGGCAAGAATCTTGGGGAACAAGAGTTTCGTGAACAGGAAGTGGCCCAGATGGTTTGTTGCGAATTGGATTTCAATTCCTTGCTTGTTGGTCGTGTACTTCTCGATGGCCATGATCCCCGCGTTATTGATGAGGATGTCGAGCTTGGAGATCTTGCCGTTGATGGTGGCGGCAGCGGCTCGGACGGAATCAAAGTCGTCAAGTGACACCGGGACGAAGTCGACCTGGATGGAAGGGTTGATTTCTTTGATCCGGGATATGATCGACTCCACCCGTGTTTGGGAGCGAGCCAGGAGGATCAAGTGTGCAGGGTTACCATGAGCGAGTGCAACCGCAGTCTCTCCTCCGAGGCCTTTTTCACTCGCACCCGTTATAACGACTACGGGATAAGTGGGTAGGATTGTCAGTATCGCAGGCTTTCTCCGCGGACTTGAAAAAGGCTCAAGCGAGAAAGAACGTACTCGTCTTGCCCTCGATTCTATCAGCGAATTCCTTGACAACTTCATCACCAGTGGTCTCTCTAGTAAAAGTCTTCATCTTGACAGGGCTCCTGTGAACACCTTGGGAGAATCCGGTTGGCTTCAAAGGATTGTTTGTATGTCAAATTTGGTTGGGAAGCTGCTTCGACAGATGTCTAGTGATATACTGCACGAACTGTTCATTGTTTGGAGGGCGTGGGAGAGCGTCCATTGTATTAAATAGCTTCTCGGACTAGGCATCCAGACAGTGAAACCCGTCAAACCCAGTAGGAGATATCCTATCTCCATGCTCCGTCGTGGCATGCTACTTTGGACCGCTTCCTAGGCCGGACGAAGGCCAAATCGGAATGTTCGTGCACGACTGCGAGTCATTGTAATGGCTCCTTCCGCAGCTATTCTGGAAATATCCTGAACAATCTACTGGAAAGCCTTCAACAAAACAGGTCGATGGGCTTGATCAGGAAAACCTCGACTTGCATCTACGGTCAAGTAGCTGGACACAATTCGGTCGAATGCGGCCGCACTTCAGGTCGCCACCCACCCACCACCAACGCGGACTTTAGTTTAATAATCATGACGACAATTGTCAGTGAGTGTCAGCGACTCACTTAAACACCGTCATTCCCATCTGCCCAATCGGATCGGCAGTCTCAATAGCCTGACAGTGCCTGAGTACCAACACGAGACGTCGATCATCAGATGGGGAGCCAAGGCGTCCTGCAGCACACACAGGGAAGGAGCCAACAAAGTGTCGTCATATAGGTCATTACTAGTGGTAGTACCAGCCCATCAGGCTTGGACTTAGAAGGAAATAATGATACACACAACTTGAAGCGAGTGTTGATACTCATCATGGGGTATCTCCAAAAACAAAACAAGCAAAAGAATCCAAGCCACAACCGACACATCCCAAGACCGTTCACTTCATTTTCTCTCACTCTCCCTCTGCCATATCAATCTGGTTCTCTGAGCACATATATCGTCCGGGATGGGTATATCCAACATGAGAGAAACCTGGGTCATTCTTTAGATGTTCTCGATAACTCGGGCGTTCATGGCCTGCTGGAAGCCGTCGTTGCTGTCCATGTTGAAAGCATTGCCAGTGTTGGACTTAGAATTGTAACCACTACCCTCGCCAGTCGTCTGGTTTTGCAGCATGGCGTTCATGTCTGTGGGTATGGTCTGGTTGGTCGCTGGTAAGAAAATGACCTTGCTATTGGCCGTCTTGGCCATGGCTTGCATGGCCTCGAGATACCGGATCTGCATAGCAGGTGCAGAGCTCAAAATGTCGGCCGCTTGTCTCATAAGTTTGGCCGATTCAACCTCTGCACGTGCAGCGATGACCTTGGATTCACCGATTCTCTTAGATTGAGCCGCCATCGACAACGAGTCTTGGAGATCGTTGCTGAAGATGATGTCCTTGATGAGCATGGATTCGACCTGGACACCCCAGCCGGCGGCAACCTCCTCAATGATCTCTCCAATGGACTGAGCGATTTCTTCACGTCGTTCAATCACATCCTGAAGCACGCGGGCACCCACCACGTGACGAAGGGTGGTCTGAGTACGTTCCACCAAGGCCTGACGAATATTGGAGATCCCAAAGGCGGCTTTGTGGGGGGAGGTAATGTGGTAGTAAATGACCGAAGTCAAGTTTAATGTGACGTTGTCTTTGGTCATACAGACCTGTCGAGGCACCTCAACGATTTGTATCTTCACATCAACCTGAATGAGGCGTTCGGAAAGAGGATTGACCTTCACCAAGCCGGGATCGACGGCGCGCGCGAAACGACCAAACTTGGTGACCAGACCGACGTTTCCTTGCGAGACAGGCTTGTAGGGATTGGGACAGATGATGCAGCACGGAATGGCGCCCAGGCAACCGATGCAATCTCCCAAGGTACTGACTGCGCAGCATGTTAGCAGTGTGGTCCGCGCTTCTTGAATCTCGGGTATGGATATACATACTCATAGAACCATACCAGCCATGAACGTCATCCTGATTGTCTTGTAGAGTTTGCGCGTAAGAGGGTTGCAGGTCCTCCCGTCGCGGTGGCTGCACCTTGATAACACCACCGTTCTGTGGACGAAACCCGACTGGGTTTGCGGCAGACTTGCCAGTGTCGCCCCCAGACTCACGAGGAGAATCCATTGTTGAGGGGTCCGATTCGGAGACTAGAGGACGCGTAGACGACGACAGGATGGGCGATGGACGGACGGTTGGAGGGGACACGCACGCAGACGATGGTGCGAAGAAAGAGTTGTCAGAGGGAAATGGAATAGAAGATTGTGGTTCTGTTTTGTCGTGGGAAGAGTTGCGACAACGCAGGCCGAGGATGGTGTCGGGAAGAGATTACGAGTACGAGAACCGAGTAGTAGTAGTCGTCATGGATATGGGGGAGTGATATACCTGTTGTATTCGTGTGAGAGGGAGATCTGAACGGGGGTGGAGGTAGCAGCATGAGTAGTGGGAAGCTAGGAGGGAGAGCGAGCCGTGAGACCGGGGGAATTTGGCAGTGTGATTGGCGCCTTGAAAGCCTCCAGGGTCTTGAGTTCTAGGGGTGGTGGATAAACGGGTACCCAGGGTGCCAGCACCAGCACCACCCACCAGGAGCTTCCTGCGCCCGAAACTCATTCTGAGGCAAAACACTATTTCTGGAAGCATGGAACCCCCCCTCCCGACCCTCTTTCATGCCAATCCCTCAGTCACGGGGCGCGAAAATGCTCTCATGCCACTGACTCTCTTGCACAGGTATCCGTCTCGCCGTACCAAGCTAACCGAGCATTGGAGGGTACGATGATCTTCCGTGACTGAAATGATCAATTGAAGGCTTTTGTGGTCAGACTACGAGTACGAGTAAGAAGTAATCTCAGAGGTGCCAGGATCCCTCATCCTATGGTTGAATCGGCACGAGTCCCACAATCGTAAACTCAGCCACGAAGGAATCAACGGTGCCAAGGCAAGGCACACTTACAACTGGCAGTGTTAGTAACGGGCGAAAAAGGAGGTACGAGTAAACTTGTCCATAGTAAGAATGATGGGAATGTCCTTGTACCGAGTACTTGGATCGAACAGATTTACTGACGTTTCATTAGTAACAGATCATCACCAAGGTAATGTCATCTCTGTCATCGCTTCTACTGTTCCACTCCTACCAAGAGTGTCGAGTATCGCCGTCGACGAGCCCGTCGATCTCTGGACCGTGTACGAGGTTCCGAGTATCGGACTGTGCAATGCTGTAGAGCCCTATTCGCTGGGAGCTAAGCCACGAGCTGGCCAGCGTTCTTTCTTGCCGCTTCGAGGTTTGCCTCAGTCTCGTGGACGTCCCGGATCGCTTCGCATACTAAGGATGTCACATTCCGCAGCAGTTGCTGGGCAAAATGTAAGTTTTGCGTGGAGGAGTTTAGCTGCGCGGCACTCCTCGCGATCGCGATCCGCAAAGGACGACACCAGCTTCAACAGCGGGCGCACGGGATGGCTAGCTTGATAACCATTTCCTCGGACGGATTGCATGCGTGACCGAATCTCCAGGTCTAAGGCCGACCCTTCTCTTACCATAGGCCAAAAGACAGAGAATCCTATCAATTCTTGATAGATTCTAAGCACTATAGTAGACAAGGATAGGAGGCAGGACATTCCTGACAACTACCAAATGATAAGTCAAGTATAAAGGATCCACACTGTTCTTCTCACTTAGACCATATCCAGGATCCAGGTGCTCTGCCCGTCAAGGCTTAATCCGGCCATGCTGCGGCTCAGAGACTCTGCGGGCTTCTGGCCCAGCCAGATGGGCTCGCTGCGACTCATGCCCTCCTGGACGTCCCAACCCTCGGTGCCCACGGCGTAAATGACCCTACCGTGGAGATACTTCTCGCGCATGCCCCGTTCATGGCCCTTTTCGTACCACACGCCGCCACCACTGGCGATGCCGCTGCCATTCGACGAGTCTCCGCCGTTGATGTCCGGCGTGGATGCATTTGTGGCAACCACGCCGACGACGACGCGAGCAATGTCCTCAGGTCGATCTGGTGGAAGCTGCACAGACATGCTCCGGCCCCCAGACTGGGCGACGGCGCGTGGGACCATGACGTTCGTGACGACTGCGTTGATGCGCACACCATCGCGTTCCGGGTCCGGGTCGATGTTCGTCCAGAGGCTGCGCACGAGCCCCAGGATCGAGTGCTGCGTCACTTGGTAGATGGGTAGGCGTGGGGTCTCCTTAAATGCTGCCACAGACGTGAGGAAAGTCAGACTGCGGTCGTTCATACCCGGCGGGGCTGAAGGCTCAGGCTGCGGTTTCGAATAGGGATTGACGATTTTCTTGGTGCTGCTCTTGGACTTGGGCGAATATTTCAGATACGCCAATGCAATTCGAGCAAACCGGACGCTCGCCGTGATGATTTCTGCCAAACCAGAGGGCTCTGTTGCGACCTCGTCATAGGCCATCTTGGCCGTCTTGTTGATCCCAGGTCGGTCTTCGAACCAACCCTTTTCGCCCGCACCAACCGTGCACGCTTGGCCGCCATCATCGCCCACGCCGAAGATTGCGTGGTCGACACGACCGTACATGGTAATAGCAAGCTTGAAGAGGTCCAGCATGTCAGAGTACCTTGTCATATCGCATCTATTGTAGTGAACCACGTGCGGTGGGCCTAGCGAGGAGATAAATTTGCGGGCCTGGTCACCATTCGTGTCGCCAAAGATCACCCGACAACCTGCCGCGTGGAATTGACGTACGAGGCACTGGCCCGTTTGGCTGGCGCCATTGGTCAGAACGATGACTTTGCCGTGGAAGGATTCTTTCGGCAACGGCGGCGGTGTGAAACGGCACGGGTTGGAAGCAAAGACTTGAGGGACGGATGACATGGACTGGGATTTCTTGGTTCGTGTCGTAAAAGGGTTTACGGGAGTGGTTGTTGATGAGCCATTTGGTTTGAGAGAAGGAGAAATCGTTGTTGAGGGGGCCAAGGCCTGGTTTGAAGTGGATGGAGGGGCGACAGAAGGAGATTTTGGTGATGATATGGGAGTCGCCACATCAGGGGAGGGCATTGAATTGA